CTGATTTTAAAAATAAAAAATGAGTAAATTTTATTTGATCACTTGATTGTCATTATTTATTGCCACTACTGTATATCCTAAATTGCATAAACAAATATTGATCATAAGGAAATGCGTGAAACTGTTATATTTGATCTTTATAAGTAATTATTCTATCATGAAATTTTTTTTTAAAAGAAGAAAACAAATAATTCGCACTATACCATAATAATAATAAGATACGTTGATGTGCATGGTGCACCGACCCTGGCTACATGACAGCATACTTCTTTGTTTTCTATAACACATTTTTGGATCCTCGATGGAGAGAGATGCAACAATCACTATTAAGGCGTTAAAAACCTGAATTTTTGCAGAGTTTTTTTTTAAAAAAAAAAAATAAAATTCAGTTGAGTCTTTATTGAAAGAGGTTTCAACTCTATATCCAGGCCCTATGTACGCCAAACAACGTCATTGGAATCATATCGTGCGACGATGATTGGTTGATACCCATTTCCTTAAATAGAAATAGAATGGCAATTTAGTGCGATCTTCGTGCTGTCATACCCTGTTGTCATGCGATGTGCATTTAAAAAAGGGTTGTTTGTCTCGTGAAAAAAACTACATTTCGCGATCCAAAACTTCATTTCTCTTTACGCCACATACTCTTCACAATTTTTTTGGTTTCATTTAAAAAAAAAAAAAAAAATTTTTTTCTAAACAATTCTTGCAAGATAAAATGACTTATACAGGTAAGAAAGTTCACGAACTACGAACTATGTGCTTGGGTAAGTAGAAGCATCCCGGTGGCTTTGTATCGTCCCGGTTGAAAGTTTGATTTTTTGTTATTGATGAATTTTTTTCATTAAGAACGTGGGTTACCGAAGGAGGGCGCTAAAAACAAGTTGATAAGTCAGTTGGAACTTTATGATCTCGAGATAGCAAGCGTGAAGCAAGAGAGCATGGAAGTCGACTGCGTGGACGTTCCTGTTCTTGCATCAACTGCTTCTGAGGAGACTGGATCATTATTACATGAGGCATCGACTCAAGATGCGATACAACCACCTTCACAACCAAAATTCCCAGCGGTGCCTTCTCCACCTGAATCGTCACATTCCATAGAAAACAACGAAGAAACTCTTGAATCGGTTGACGAATCTTTGGGGCAACGAGATCAATCAGAAGTGACATCATCATTACCAGCCTCAGCCACAACATCTCCAATAGTTCATCACGCTGCCATTGAAGTGCCAACATCCATTAATAACTTTCAACAAAATCAAACTGCACCGTCGTTCGAGACGCCACCGTCAACTCGTCAGCCCACGTTACATGAGTCATCATCGTGTCAAAATTTTGTCTCGAATGAAATTGATCATGAGCTCTTCAATCGATTAATAGCAGAAAGAAAGCAACTTTGCATGATTCAAAGCTCAAATATTCATAGGTTATACAATAAGGGAGTCATGATAAATCAAGCCCGTGGTGTGCAGTATAATTATGACTTGCTGTTGAAGATAATTCAAAGTTCTTTGGTTTACAATGACGGTGAGATACCTTTATGGTTAAAGGAGGCATACGATACCTCCGTTGGTACATCATATTGGGAAGCAAGTGTGGTCAGCCCAGGTATCGATGCAGATGAAATATTTTTATTAAAAGACGATGTTCAAATGGTTCCAATGGAATTCATTTTCTAAGTAAAGGTAAGGCCATATCAGTGGTGAACGTAAATCAAATCCGTATTCATTTATCGGATATATCATAAATATACTTCATCCAACCCGTAGTGAAATATCTATTTGGCATGGGTGATTGGCGAATAACAGGAATTTGACATTAGTAATGAACTTTGCCTCTTTTGGGTGGTTTCGTAGAACAACGAAGCTTTTGTAAATAGGTTTTGTAAGTTTAGGAAAACTTACTGGTGTTAGTACCTATATTTCTACGTGATGTCGTGAATAACCTATTATTTGCAATGTTAAAAAGAAAAAAAATTTTTTTTCATTGATTCAAAAACACAACGTGACTACGTGCTGATGATTTCGGGTCCAGCCGAATAGCAAAAGTCAAATTAAGGGCGAAATTCCTGATCTGCCAATTTGGAAAATCAAGTGATCACGAGTAGTGTTACATGATAAATATTTTAGATAAAAGAATGTCTATATAAAATGTTGAATTAACTAAAAACAGTATTTTTTAAGTATACACATCTTTAAAACATATATCGTGTGTACATCACAACGTAGATCCTACGTAAATATATTTACCTTGTAAAACATTGAAAAAGCGCGGGGAATCGTAAAATAAGTTGATTTGACGAAATGTTTTCCTATGCATCTTGTGCGCTTTACTTTTTTTATCACAAGACCAGCAGGAGCTAAACATCAATGATACTTGATAGCAACCGCATGATCAGAAATCCCTTTAAAGACTCGTATTAAGATAGCCCAAGGCTATCGTTGATGATTGCCTTCTATGTTAATTCGGTTAATGTTTACTGACTAACGAATGATCAATTCGTGTGGGCTTCCAAATCGAAAACGATTTTTAAGAATGCAACAACGATTTCATGATAAACTCGTTCCTATCTAGTATGAGCTTGGTAACCTTCAATGCACGATAAGATATACCTTTTAATTCCGATTTCTTCCCAATCTTTGTCCCTGCTCTTTCGGAACATTGGGAGCACGAGTCAAAGTAAGCATTTTACCTCCTCAACACTGTCAACACTGCGGATGGTATACAACATATACAGTATATACAGTACATAAAATACATAAGTATGCACGTACAGTAGTGTATGTAAGACTAATGAAAACAGTAGTAATGGACACACCATATATTCTAGAGATAATATACGATACTTCTTTTCTGTTATTACATTACGAGATAATCAATCAAGTAAAGGATATGTAGAAATCTCTAGTATAAATATATAACTTTTCCCTTTGACCAATGTGAAACGTTGACGTTACCTTACCATTCTTGATTATTATCCGTTTCATCTATTTCATTTATTTTTGGTCTTTATTTATTATCATCATTATATATATACTGTATATACTGTATATGATTTAATGCCATACTGTTAATGCCAAATTTATTTTAGAAATGAGAAAATTATTTTCTTTTAATAAATAAGGTTTAATGCCTTATTCAATATTCTTATTTGGTGGCCGAATTCTATTCAATTATATCTAAAACTCTTTAATAAAAATATATGCCAAAGCTTTTTACTACTTTAATCCAATTTATGACATTTGACATTTAAGATAATATAAAAAAATTCATTAATAACTTGACTACAACTATACAGTATTTGATTAAAATTTAATTAATTTACATAGAAAAATTTCAACAACAATTGATAATTGACCCTTTATTATAATAAATTTTTATAACAATTTAATATGCCAATTTGACAAAATTGCAATAATTAATTATTTTAGTTATTTTATTTATTGCTATCAATTCATTAAAAATTATTTGATATTGAATAATTTAAAAATAATTATAATATTATCAAATTTTATTAATTAATTATATAAGTATATAAATATTTATAAAATAACCATATTTAATAGAATACATTATTTTAATTTGAAACTTTTTTATATTATACTTTAGTTAATAAAAACTTTTAAATATCTTGATTTAAAAATTTTTATATAAAATTCAATCAATTGTATAATTTATTACAAAAAAATATAAAGATTTAATAAAAATTATGATTTTTATTATAGATAATATTTATAAAGATAATATAAGAAATTCAAATTATTTTATTAAAAATAATAAATTAACAATTCTTTATAAAAAAATAAAATAAAATATATATAATTAATAATTATAAAAGATTTAATTAAAAACAATTTAATAAAGTTGAAGATAAGATCTATAAGTCTATAGTATAATAATAATATTCTATAGGTTATTAAGAAAAGATCTAGAATTCAAACTTATCTGGTTACAAAAATTTATCACCCTTATAATTAGTTGACCAGTGTTCAATTCATATTATATTTAATTAGCTAAATAACAAAAAACAATCAATTTTCAAATTTAATTAGGCTATATAAAAATAGAACCTCTGGTCTTCTTAATAATTGTAAGCCAAAAACATATTAAAACAAAGAAAGTTATATAAGAAAAGACTTTTGATCTAACTCCAGTAAAAGTTCACAAAACTCAATCTAAACTGATGGCAGCAAACTCTATTATACAAATTTAAAAGGTTAATCCAATCTAAAACTTGTAAATATATCTCAATTGTAATGTTTTATAGAACTTAATCATATGACTAAAAAGCAAGGTATCAGCCACAGATGATGAGAATCTAAACAAAAATTATTAACCAAATGTATCTAATGAGAATCTATAAGATTGAATTGAAATCTAAACAAGGACACTAATTTCACAGGTGATAAAAATAGTAATACTATCCTATACTAATAATACATCTCAAGAATCAGTGATAATAGTAATTGGAATACTGAAGTTGATTTCTATAATAATATTTCATAACATGTTTCATTCACAACAATGTAGTTAAAACAGGACCTAGTAAATTAAATAGTTTAAACTAGTAATAGAATTTTCACTCCTCTATATAAGTTTTACTTAATGTGTGAACCATATATTTGATATTTAAAGTTTTATATACTAAGTATATTGAAGTTGTAATATAATAAACCAATAACTAGAATTAGTTAATTTAGGTTAGTATTAAGCCATTAATAGTAGAAAACATTTGATATAATAGTTTTAAACTTTTGTTTAATAAAAAGTCTCTTATTTAATATATGTTATAACTAAAAAAATAAAATAAAATAAATAAAGTTAAGATAAAAAATTATAATTTTTTATTGATTTTTAAAAATCAATAATTTTAAACATAATAATATATAAATTTATTATATTATTTTAAAATTAATAAAAAATTTTTTTATAAAATTAAAATTTAAAAAAAATTTTTTAATTTTAAACTTGTAAAATACAAAATTATAATCTTAATAATATAGTATATAGTGTAAGTCATATTTTTTGAAATTGGATTTTTTAATATAACTTTATTAATAATTATTTAAATATTATAAAAATTTATAAAAATATTTTTAAAAACCTATAATTCAAGATTACTTAAGAATATTTTTAAAATTTTTTATTGTTTTTATATCTAAAATTTATGTTTAATATAAATTAACAAATATTGATAAAAAAATTTGTCAAGTTTTATATAAGTTATTATAAAAACATAATATAGTTTTTTAAATTTTTATAAAAAAACATAATATTTTAAAAGCTGGTTTAGTTTATTATATAATAAAAATTATTTGTTTTAATAAAATTTTATAAATTACTTATTTATAATCTAAAAAACAAATTTGTTTAAGCTTATCTTATAAATATTTTAATAAAAATTTTTTAAATTATTTTTTGAATATAAAATTTTTTGATTTTTTTTTATTATATTATGTAAACTTATTTGTTTTATACAAAATTTAAAACTTATTTTCTTTAAATATTTAAAGACTTTTGTCTAAGCTTTTCTTATAAAGTATCATAATAAAATTTTTTTAAAAAATATACTTGTTTATAACAATTCAAAAATTTTTTTTTGAATTTCTATGTATTATCTAAAATCTTAAAAATCAATATTTTTTAATCAAATTTATACTCTTTTATTCTTAAGTTTTAAAATATATTTAAATAAAATTTTATAAAATTTTAATTATTTTTTTTATTTAATTATAAGATAAAATATAAAATTAAAAAAATTAAAAAAAATTGTGACTTACACTATATATATATTTTTTTACTAAAAAGAACTTAATACAAGACTTGATATATGACTACACCTCTATACTTATTTAAATTATTTAAAAAATATAATAAAAAGAAATTTAAAATCTATATTAAAGTTTTAAATAATATCTAGTTATTTAGAAATAAATAATTATTTAATTATATAAAATCAATTTATACAGATTAATCTTTAAATTATAATTAAAATTGATACACATATTTTTCAAATATAACTTAATATATAACAAATAAAATAGTATTAAAAATACTAATTTAAAAATATTGTAATTACTTTATATAGATTAACTTTCAAATTATAAAAAAAATTTATATTTATATTTTAAATATAATAGAAATATTTTATAAGTAAAGTTTAAATTGAATTTTTTTATTGATATTAAAATCTAATCTTATATAATGAATTTATATTATTAAAAAATAAACAAAAAACTTTTATTGTTATTATTAGTTTGTTTATATAATAATTGGAATTTTTAATTATCTTTTTTTTTTATAATCACAAACAAATATTAAATACAAAACTTTTATTAAACAAGAATTTATAACCATTACATTAAGAATCTTTTATATACAATATAAATTAATTCTAGTCTATTGTGATTTTTTATCAAAATATCAATCTATACTATATAAGTATTTATATTTGATTTAAATATTTTTTAAAAACTATACTATATTTATATTATTAAATAACAATTAGTAATTAATTAGAAATTATATTTAAAAAAAAAAAAACTCTTTCCGCAAATCACAAAAATTTTAAAAAATTTCCTTTTTTGGCAACTCAAGAAAAACCAAAGGAAATACCCAAAGGAAAC